CCAAAGATGTACCCTTTAGATTTTAGATTTAGATTTTAGATTTTATTTAGATTTAGATTTTTAGATTTTATTAAATTTATACCCCGCCCTTCTCCCGGAGGACTCAGGGCGGCTTACAGCCAGTTTAAAACAGTGATACAATACAAAATTTAAAAAGATTAAAAATAACTATTTAAATTTGGCCGCTTTGACAGCCACAGAACTTCTGTGTGCAAAAGTAACGTAATAAAATCTTCATTATTGTTCTGGCAAAGCTGGCAAAGCTGTCGAAACATTCTATCATTTTTTGGTTTGGATTTGATCTTGTTTATGGCTCGAATTATTATAGTTAATGATGAATGGAGACTTGTACTTAGATATTTTCCTACAAGATGTTGTCTGTGCACCACACAATGAATACATAAAACATTTGGCACTTGAAGGAAGTTTATTCGTTGTTTAGGTGCTATCGTTCCTATCATTGATGGTGCTCCATCAGTAGCGCATGCAACAATATTATTCAAAGGAATATTATTTTTTGTAAAGTATGATTTCACAGTATTAAATATAGATAATCCTTTTGTATCTGTAATGAGATTTATTGCGAATAGCATTTCTTCTCGTAATGTATTGTTTTCGTCAAAATAACGTACATAGGCCATCAATAAAGCATTATTATCTGCAGTGGTAGACTCGTCCAATTGCATGGAAAATGAAGAGTTTTGGAGAATACTTATCAGGTTTTTTTTTCAACATTAACTGCCATTTCATCAATTCGTCGCTTTACTGTGCTATCGCTTAGGGGCAATGTTTTTAAATTTTCAGGTATATCCTGATGCATTACTGTTGAAATAAATTCTTTTATAGAGGGTATTATTACAGTTTCTCCAATATTATAGCTTTTACCACTTTTTGCAATTAATTATGAAATGTGATAAGCGGCAATTAATCCATCTTTGTTCGCTGCATGTTGTTTCTTAAATGATGCAACGACTGTTGAACGATTTTGAATTTTTTTATATATTTCCTGAAAATATTCAATGGGCTTGTCCTTATCATTTGGATGCTTTGTAGAAAGATGTTCTTGCAATCGATTTGGCTTCATTGCTTCATTGGATAATGTTTTATGACACAATAAACACATTGGATGTTGTTTATTTACAACAGATTCTATGAAACCCATCTTCAGATACTCTGGCAAATAGCCACGAGCGTATTTCCTTTTTTGAGACATGGGCTCACAATATTTTGTTTGAAGCTGTAGGCACGTGCTCACTCAAAATGGCAGCTGCACCACCGACTTTCTGTCCTGGGCAAGCAGGAATGAATAGAAGGCCTTTATGGCCTCTACCTTGGTCATGAGGGAATGCCCAGTGGAGTCTGGTTTGCCCCCGATCCGTGCCTGTCACAGCAGGATGAAGAGAGAGCCTGGTTCTTGTCAGAGATGCCTGAAATCTCTATGACTGAGGGCTCTGTGCGGCTCTCAAAATGGTGGCCATGCCAAAATTAGTGGCCGCTTGTATTTCGGCCAGGCCTTCCCAGCCTTGAGGGGCCCTGAGGGGAAGCTTGTTGTTCGATGTGTCTTTAATTTCCACCCTCCGGAGCCGAAAATGAGGCACTTGCGGTTTTATCTCGTTGCGCAGCCTCTGCTGCAATCCGGATTGTCGAGAAAGTTAACGGGGGCCTTGCGACGATGGCGCGCTTCGGCAAGGCTGTCCGGCCTCCGAGAGCTCCGCGGGGGGTTGCCCAGCTGAGGCTAACACCCCGCGCCTGCTGGAAAGCTCTGTGAGCCGATCGGAGGGCTCGATGGATCCGAAAATTTAAACGGTTCGGATTGAACCCCTACCGCCCACCATGAAAGCTGGAACGCCCATTAGTGGGCGGTAGGGACCAGGTTGACTACCACTGCTTTAAACTGTGTTGTTTCAAGGGAAAGCCTAGCTAAGAAATTGCAACACTTCGCTTGTCTCTCCCCCCCCCCCCCCCGGATTGTAAAACTTTCCCTTCTCATTTCTCTGCTGTGGCTTTAAAATGTAACAGCTCTCTAAGGCCTGCAAAGTAACAAAGTTAATGGGCTAATTGCCAGCTATTGTGCTATTGTGTGTTCAAGCTTAGAGATGCAGAAGTGTAACGCCAAGATAGACAAGGAGATTCAAAGGAACTTTTTAGATGCGCAGAAACCTTGTGAGGTTTGTTGGTTATAAAAAGCAAAAACTTTTCTTTCTTTTTTTTAAAAGAAATTTTATTGGTTTTTTTGGTTTTTAAGACAAAGTGCTCAAGACACACCGTGGTGTTAAGGTAGTCAAACATCCAAAGACAAAACATAATTCAATCAATACATCTAATATTCCCTCTCTTTTCCCTTTAGGTAACATAATTTGTTTAAAATAGTCCAATTCAAGCTTAAATTTATTCAACCTATACCTGTTTTTAAAGCTTTATAAATTTACACTACCATAATCAAATTAACTTTAAGTACAAACATTATCAATTCGGGTATCCCTTCCAAATATATTCTAATTCCTTAATTTTATCATAAATCTTATTTAATTCTTCTTCCACTAATATCCCTTAATTAAAATAAAATATTAATCTATCCTATACGTATCTAATCCCAATTAATCAATCTCTTTAAGCTGACAAAAAAAATCAGACCTTAAATCATTTCAATCCATTAAACAGAATTCAAATTTCATCCAATTAATTGCCATAACTAATAACATCCATGTTATCAAACAAACAAATCATCTTATTAGGTTAACTCAACATTACATAATAATTTTCTTACAAGTAAGCCTATCGTCCTAAAAAAAGAAAGAAAACACACTCTTAATCAATTTAATATATATTCCATTAATCACCCCTTTTTCTCTTACTTCTAACTCACAATTTTAATCCTTAGATCAACCCATAATTCTAAATTACCTTTAATCCATTACTTAAAAATATCTCCTTTTAAGCTAAAATATTGATCTATCCTAAACATAACTAATCCATCAATCAATCAATCTCTTTAAGCTGACAAAATAGTATCAAACCTTAAATTATTTCAATTAATTGAACATCAAACAAATAAATCATCTTATTAGAAATAGTGATTTTCATATAGATAAATCTTATATATCTTCCATTAGTCGCCATTTCTCTTACATCTAACTCGTAATCTTAATCCTTAAACCAATTCATAATTCTAGATTGCCTTTAGTCCATTACATAAAGTTTTAACTTTCACTTTTTTCAGTCTTATTCTGGGCTTCTTCTTATGCCAAATAGGTTTCCATAGCAGGGCCTCCCTTCCAGCTGATAGGTCTCTCTTTATTGCTTTTAGTATCATTTGGATCAGTGAAAACCATCTTGGCCTTTGCATTGGCCCTCTGATTCTCTTAACCATAGAGTCTCGTTGCTTTAACATTTCAAATCTCAGTCTTTGCTTTTTCTGGTCCTCAGCACCATAAGTGAATTGCTTATAAGGCAAAATCAATTTCTCTTTATTCTCAGTTAAGTCCTCATCTTGTGCAATCTGTTTTATAGAATGATCAGATGTAGTCTGAAAGTCAATTTTGAAGTTTGAAGGAGAGATTCTGGCTCTTAATTCTGTAGTAAACTCTTTCATTGTAGCACATATTTCCTCTTTAGCCTCATAGATCTTTTCCAGAATAAGTTTACAATTTAAATGTGAATGCAACTCCATTTTAAAAATTATTCAGCTGCATCAAGTTACCTTTCTCTTGAAGAACAGTTTGAAGGCCAAAACCATCTCCTCTCCAAATAGACAACAATTACAATATTAGCTTTTAGCCAGTAGATGTCCTCAGTGAGCTAAAAAATCTTTTTCAAAAGTCATTTCATTTTTTTTCTTTCCCTTTTTTCTATTTTTTCAGGAAAAGGTAGAGGAAGAAATACTTAAAAAAAGGCACAACAGCATAGACTGATAGTAGAATTCTTAAGAAATTTTTTTTCCAGTACCCCAAAACATATATATATATATATATATATATATATATATATATATATATATATATATATATATATATATATATATATATATATATATATATATATATATATATATATATATATATATATATATATATATATATATATATATATATATATATATATATATATATATATATATATATATATATATAAATGTAGTCTTTAAAATTTTGTTCTATTCTTTTGTTCGCCTTTCATCCCAAACATGTAGAAGCCGCCTTTCCAAGCCAGGGAAACAATTCCAACAGGGCTCTTACAGGCAAAAAAAGCAAAATAGCATAAAAAGAGGAACAAAAAAGAAGATCTCACCCGGATTCACCACGGTGGGTTTTCAAGCTTAGCTGTTCTTTGACTTGTGGTTTCTAGCGGCTAAGTGATCGGCCATTTTACTGGCCGATCTTCTTCTCCATCGGCCCTCAGAGATGGCCCGGACAGCTGGAGGAACCGCCGCTCCTCCACCACCGAGCAAAGCCTCTTCGGCAGAAGTCGCACCCTCCAGGCAACTTTAGACCCACATAAGGGTCTACCGGCGGAGGGAAGCTAGCCGACGAGGAGACAAGTCTCTTCGTACAACTAGGAGCGCCGCAACCCGGAACAGGAAGTCAAAAAAAAGGAAAAACTTTTCTGATGACGTGCTCTCTGCTCTCCATGTTCTCTGCTGTCTAAAGGAGAGTGAAGTGCCCAGCATCTGAGCTGAAAAACCTTACAATCACATGGCCATGGGGATGCTGCAAAAGTTGTAACTGAAAAAGGTTGTAAGTCACTTTTTTCAGTGCTTTTGTAACTTTGAACGGTCATTAAATGAACTGTTGGAAGTCAAGGACTACCTGTATTTTAGTTTAATGGCCCCACATTTTTCTCTGATGGAACAAGCAAAACAGGCCTCACAACACAGAGAAATTTTTTTTACCAAACTGCAGAATCTTTGGATTCATGTAAAGTTCTTCTCTGTTAATGCATGTAGAATTACTACAGTTTGATGTTTTTGTTCAGAATTTTAAATTTGAATTAGTGATACTCACTGTGAATTGCCAAAGTCCTCCAATGACATCATTTTTTTCAAAGCAGGTGGGTTCTAGTCCTTCCTCTAGGCAGCACTTGATAGAGACCAGCCCGCTCACTCCTGCCCCAATAATTGCCACTTTTCGTCCCATAGCTTGGTGTCAGGGTAGAAGCTTTTCTGAAGAGGCACCTAGAAAGTTGCACTGGTATTAATTCACACACTATTATCTGCTGGACACAAAGTACAAAGGTTATAATTCTGTAGCTATACTTTTACTATTTCCTTGTGAAGTTGCATAAGCAGGAAGCATTTCTCTCTCCCTTAAGCGGGGCTTTTTTTCTCATAGAACGCCCAGAATGGAGTTCCGGCACCTTTTTGGGATGGAACCTTATAGGGTAGGCAAGGCGGGTTGTATGATGTGTGTGAGTTCCGGCACCTTTTTTTTTTTTTTTAGAAAAAAAAGCACTGCCCTTAAGTATATATCTTTGCCAGCAAGTACCTGTTAGTTTGGTAAATTCAAGCACTGTTTATATTGTATATTGGAATACAAATCCCTGTTCTTTTCTCAGGGAGGCCCTCTTGCCTCCTTAAACACCATTTCTGAACAACATTCTTCTATACAGTGTCAGAGATACTCATAATAATGCCAAGAATAAATATGGAGAATATAGGAACTCCAGATTCTATTGGTTATTGGGGTGTGGGTGTTTAGTCATGAAAAAAGCAAAGTAAAAATAAAAAAAAGTGAATGGTGCTACAATATAGCATTTTAAATCAAGTTAACCAAAGTGGTTGCATTGCCAGATCATACTATTTTTATTTTTAAACCACCGGTTATTGAATAAGTCAACACTTGCTGTTTTGGCACAGCTCTCCAAACTCCATAATATGGTTGGTATTTTGCCTTACTATGGCAGTTTTAATTCTTTATTTCTAGAGAAGGAGGAGCTGTACTGAAGGTGAAAGTCCACAGTAAAAGCAGGATCAATGGCAGTGAATGTAGTTTGTCAGGACTGAGTTGTTACTACAGAGAAACTCAAAAGATAACCAAGAATCACAGGAACTTCATCACATGATATAACAATAATAGAGTTTGAAGGCACCTTGGAGGTCATCTAGTCCAACCCTCTGCACTTGAAAGAAACCTGTACTACTCGTGGAAGAAGTGCATGACTTTCCTGTACTCCTAAGCATTAGTCTTTCTCCTATTCCTATGTATTCTGCAAGCATCAGTTTTCTCTGGGGATAAAGCCAGCACTTAGTAGATTCTGGATTATTTTCCTTTACCTGGAGGAACATTGCACAGTCCAGCCTCAGCTTGAATTGGGAACTGTGCCTTGATTATTTTTTGTGGGCCTCAGTTCAGTAGTTTTTCTTCTCTTTCGAGGATTTGTCAGAGGAAGGCATGACAGTTCTAGATGAGCCACATCAAACAAATTATGTTTTACTTAGCATGATGTGTCAACTAACCTGACAGGTATTTGATATGCTCAAAGACAGAGAGTGGTTTCTTTAGCTTTGCTTCTAATACAGTAATTCCACAAGCAAAGTGTTAAGTCCGGAGAATAATGGCGCTTGAGATGAAGCATTTCTAACAAGTCTTTATTCTCTGCTTCCAAACTACGAACAACCCGAGCAGAGGCACGCAGGCCTCTATTTACACCTTCTGATCCCCGGGCATTTCTAACCAATCACAAGGCGGTCTTTTCCCGCCTTACGCATGTGCGCAAGGCCGGCGCCACTCAGTCTGGTCCCGGGCAGCTTTTGCAAATGCCCGGGACTCTTGCAACGTCCCGAGCCTGCTTTTGCAGGCTCAGGACACAACACCCCTCCCCCCTAGATGAAATAATACGGCGCCCAACATGGACACCATCATAATAATGAATTGTATGAATACTGTTGTATTAAGGTCACATTGTGTGTGTAAGGTATGGGGCTGTTCCGTCGTACAGAGACCCGATGGCCCCAACATCGTTTCCGTAGAGTCAACCAGCCTGGACCTCTAGTTCAGTTATTGCTATTTACATGCTCATCTTACGTAATCTGCAAGGTATTTGGGAGGGCCTTTGACCCTTAGTGACCTTCTCGGACCTGGGGAGCTTGTAGTGTTTTCCCCGTTGCTTCCCACACTAGGTGAATTAACCTGTGGTTGTCTCGTGACTTCTGTTTGACTTTCCTGCCCGTCTCCTAGGCTCGAGAAGTCAGGACTCTGTTGATCGCTATACCTGGTTGCCCTACCACCTATGGAGTTTTCCAACCCCTCTGAACTCATCTCCGTGTTTCCTGACAGAGTGTGGTTTTCCTGGCTCCTTTCTGTAGTGATAGGGTCTAGGGATGCCTCCCTGTTAGCCCTTATGCGTGGGGACATTCTTCTATGAGCCATTTCTGCAAAGGACGTGTTACCCCTTTGTTTTGCCTGCTCTCTTGTATGTTGTGAGTTGTGAGTATGCTCCCAGTCCTTCTCCGTGTCTGGAGTATTGTTTGTGAGGTGTGGATAGTTAGTATACCTCCGGTGGGACTCCCAGGCTGGAGTGTGTGTGGGGGTGTCTGTGTGCCCCCTTCCCCATGAATTGCTACCTGAATCTCCTGTGGAACTTGGGTGTTGAGTACCCGTGTCGTTTCCCACAACCATCGTTGGCTGTTGATTCTGATTCCCAGAATGCATTTCCCATTCCTCCTCCCCCCCAGAGGAGACTGAGGAGGAACTCCAGGCGAGTCCCGCCTCACACGTAGTTGATCAATGTGGCGGCGAAGAACGCGGCCGTCTTCCAGGGACACCTCGTAGGACAGAGGCCCCGAGACCTTGCAGACCACAGCCGGGACCCAGAGGTGTCCAGGCCCGTAGTTCCTGGCCCAGACAGGATCACCTTCACGCAGGACCCGTGGTGGGTGTGGCTGAGACACCT